CTGCCCGTGAACTTTTGTTTCGTCCTCAACGACGTTCGGAAAAAAAGAACCGCGGCTTCTCTATCTTTATCTCTCTCTCTCTCTCTCTCTCGCTCGCGCGCTCTCTCGCTCTTTCTCTCTTTTTCGCAATAAACGCACTCAGCCTCAGTATAATCCTACAGCGTCAATATATCAATTTTTTATATATATATTTATATATATATAATATACTTTTTTCTCATATATATATTCACTTTGTGTTCTATATCAATAATAGCGTATTAGATACTTTTTGTTCACTTATGTCTTAGGTATGTAATATAGGTATATTCTTTTTTTTTCACCATCTGTTCACAGATACATATATGTATATATCAAAATGTGGAAACGAAAGGGTCCTCTCGAAATAGCCGTTCTCCGTTCGGTCGGTCAGCTGTTCCGCTTTCATTTTTTTTTACTTTCCCTCCTACCTAAAATGCGTCGACTTTATTTGCTTTGCCGGGAAACTAAAAAGGAAAACATTTCGAGAATATGCCATTCAGGGTATTACCTGTGTGGATTGATCCAAAACACAAATTTTGTCGGGTAGTTTGTTGCTTCGGACATTCACTCTGACACGCACACAGAGTTCGTACATACGTTGCGTATTCGACATAGGAGGGTTCGCCAGTTAACTGAACATCTCGCATATTGCGTAACTACGTTTTTCTTTTGGAAACAATTAGATTGAAAATCTCGAAAGGGGGGATTTTTCCTCTTCACAAATAGTTCAGAAATCGGAAGATTGAAAAATTTTACGTTGAAAAATATAACTATAACTGTAAATTTATATCGATCACCGAATTCGAGTCAATCTAGGGTTAGACTCGATTTGAGAATACGCCAAATTAAATACTGAAAAAATGACACGTTTTGCACATTTACAACGCTGATTTTAAAATTAGGGACTAAAAAATCTCTCGAGGTTTGAAGCAAATAAAAACAGAAAATAGTATGCGGATTACAGGAACATGGAAAGATTCTTAGATAGCAAGCTGATGTGAAAATGACATAAAAATTAGGGATGTGCCGGATATCTGAGAAGTATCCGGTATCCGATAATATATAATATACATCCGGCTGAAATTTTATATTGAAAGTTCGCGTCACTGATACAAAATCCTATTCTTTTCACCTGAACTTTATGCTCAGTTCATCTTTCCTCTTTTTCTTTTCATATTGGGGAAATAAAGAAAATTATTATCGCTATTTTTCTCTTATTTTCCTTTTTCCTAACTAAAATGGAGAAATTATACGGATATCCGGAAAATATCCGGTATCCGATATAATTATCCTACCGGATATCGGTGTTATATTCTTTCTGGATATCCGATATCCGGTAATTTTACGATTTGGTACATCCCTAATCAAAAAATAAATAACGTTAGCTTGCTAGGTTTCCTTTACGAAACCGTCAATTTTTGAGTCACATTGTCCGCTTTAATCAGAAATAAAATTGATCTATATCACTGAGTATCATGGAGAAATTGAAATATCAATTCGAAGAAAGCGGAGCGTCAAACTTACGCAACGTATCTACAAACATGATCACACGAGTAATGCATTCAGCAGAATTTCGAATGACTTTTTTCGTCGCTTAGTCAAGTGGTCACGGTCTACGGGACACTTAAATTTTTTTTTGGAAGGCACTTACTACTTTTTTTCTTTTTATACAGTATTTAATTTTAAACTCTTCCGCATTCGCTCTCTTTCCTCCCCACGCTCTCGCGACCTCGCGTATATTCTTCCTTTCTCTCGTTTTTCTTTCTCTCCTTCCTCTTGCACCTAGAATTTTTTTTCGCGATTCGGCTTGCGCTTCTTCACTAAATTTCGACTGCCCGCGCAACCCTTCTTTTTTCTCTCTTTCACTCTTCGTTTTTAACCCATCGCACATCTCGCGCGAATTTACGTTTGAACACATTAATGCCTAAATGGTAAATAGAATTCGCGCTTTCCGAATTTCACGCCGAAATGAAAAACGTGGTCGATTGAAGTCTCGCAACGCGTATACTAATAATAAATCGACGCGCCGTCCGCGTGTCGCCTTGCGACACCGTCGCGTTTTCGCACAAAAGTCGTTTGTATCAAGAATAACGTATTATTTTTTTTCCCTTTATTTTTGACTTGCCTGATGTTTTGTCGCTCCCTCATATATGTGCTACGATCGCGCGATCCTTTCTTCTCTCTCTTTTCCTTACTTCCTTCCCCGATAATATTCTGGCTGCATGAGCGTGGTGCGAGAATCAATTTTTTTTTCTTTCTGCGATTTTTTTACCCTCTCTTCCGTAAAGTTTTCCAGACAAACGGGATAACACGGATGGCTCGTTTCACCAAAAGCCTCGTACGAGCAAAAGCGAAAAGCGATGATCTTTCCCTTTCACCGAAGGCCACTTCGAATTTTTTTTTGTTTACTTTTTACACTTACAAGGAGTCTTTCTCTCTCTCTCTCTCTCTCACTCTCACTGATATTCTCTCGCATTCTTCCTCTTTCTTTCTCCCGACCAGCGTGCCGATGTTAGAATTCTCAGAAAATTTCAATAGATATATTTAGAATTAAATTATTTGAAAAATTACAGTCCGTTTATATAGCTGATGGAAGATATAAATAATCAAATGAGGATCTTCATATTAACACCATCGAAAGGTGATAACCTCGCGGTAATCAAATCCGAATTGGATGGATCGAATTTAGTACAGACGATCAATTACAAAGTCCAATAAATTTTAATCGTGTACAATTTCGCTCTATTTGCTTGATTATAATAAAAATTACCTGCTTGTTAGTGACAGTGGTCAAATGAAGAATCTTCATATTAGCACTATCAAAATGCGATACTTCGCGGTAATCAAGTCTAAAATTCCGCGGATTCTGAATTTAGCAAAGACGATTATAATTACAATTTCTACTGATGCATAATTTCGCTTTCGATTTTGCACGATAGATATTAAAATACCTTCGTCATTTTAACTGGTCGGCACGGCTCGTTCATCGATTGTCGAGGACTTGGAGATCCCTTTGCGAAATCACGCGCGACGTGTGTAAAATTTTGAAAAATAGCACGATCTTTCGAAAAAAGAACACGTATACGAGCTTTTCTTTCAAATCCATTCGCTCCTTCATTCGTACACTCCGTTCACACTCGCGTTCACGCACGCACGCACGCACGCACGCAGACTCGTATATTCAGACTTTCGCAATCTCGCATTGATGCACAGACACTCGTGGTCGCCGAACTCACCGAAATTTCGACACGGTCTGTCGTGTCGAGCCACAGTTTCTCGTCTCTAATCCCTAAACCTTATAATTTTTATACTTGGCATACCCCAAATATGGCAGGAAGGCAATCATTATACTTAATAACTTTATAGCGATCATCTCGGCCTAGAGTGTGCTCGCTTTATAAGCCATTGAATTTGTTTTCTCCGTTTCTAAATACTTTGTCGTACCTTTTTTCCACCTCTTTCGCTTTCTCTCTTTCTCTCTCTATCTCTCTTTTTCGCTCTTTAATTTTTTCCTTTTTTGCTCGTTTGCTTGCTTGGTAGACAATCATAGTAAATTTTGTACATCTCCCTTACTTATCGAGCTTACATCGGTGACGTCGCTTACTGCCTGGCGTCAAAAGGATAGTATTCTTGCACAAAGCGTCGCGGATAAAATTGAGATTTTCTGTTTCGAAGAGATTCATAGATAAAGGGCAAGACTCATCTTTAAGATATTTGATACGTTAAAAAAATGTTTCTATCAGTAGATTTACATAAGTAATTGAAGACCAGATCTGTTTTTTCCTTAAAAGCAAGATTTACGTTCTTAGAATAATTTATACAGAAATAGAAAACGAGAGTTCGCGATCTTTGTAATTTAATTTACTTTCGCGATCTCTGTAATTTATTTTACTTTCACGTTATATATATATATATGTATATACTAATAAGAAAAACCTTACTTTATAGTCTTAAAATAATTTCAAGCAACTCTCTTTTGCGACACCTAAAAATTAGGAGTGTATCACAAACTGATCCATGACACGTTGTGTAAGGACTCGATAATACAACGTGCAACTTTGTTCGAGGCGGCTTATTTTTCTCGTCTCGATACCCGTCTCGAATAATCAATCATTCGGCAGTAGGCGACCCCTTACGAGTTATTATACATTTGGCATTAAAAGTACAGTTATCGTATAATGCGTAGGTATAAATTTCGAGTGTGTATCTTGTTATGTACGGCGCGCGCTCGTGTGTCCATGTGTGAGTGTATGTATATTCATACGTGTGCGCGTGTGTGTAACGTGTGGTTTTTTTTTACCTTTATTACATGTACATAGTCTGTACGACACGACGATGACACGACTATCTAGATTGGAAAAAGGTGGCGGCGCGCTCGCGAGGCGCCGGCGACCTAGTATAGCTATAGTATGTTTGCTAGAAGAAGGTTTTTACTCTCTTTCGCTCTCTCCTTTCCTCCGTTTCTGTTTTTCCACTGTCGAAGATCCGACCGAGCGATCCTCGTCTAGGACGGTCCACTACCGTTCGATCGTTCTTCCCCGAAGCTGAGCCCAGGCGAGAAATTCTCGACACTCTCGCTTATCTCGTCCGCACTCGTGTGTCTCCGTCAGTTTATTATTTTTTTTTCTTTTGATTGTAAGCCTCTCTTTTTCTCTAATATCCCTCTAAGATTTTCGTATGCACAATACATCGCGCTCGCGTATAACGTTTGCAGTCGCGTTTATATATATTATAAACTCCCGCGAGAGAAGGTGAAGTGAATCGGACAGTGCTCCATTCTTCGCGAGAAGTCTACCGGCTCGCATCACCGGTCCTCGGCCGCTGACGGCCTCGAAGAGAGAGAGATTCTCCTCGGGGTCATCGACGCACCTCGTCCTTCCACGGCCGACGATCCCATAGTGGCTGATGTAGTCGTCTCTCCTCCTCGTTCCGCAGCCACCATGATGACTTACTATTCGCAGCGCGAGTCCGTGAGCGGGTCAAGCTTCAACGATGTCCTCCTGGAAGAGATTCTCCGGGCGTGGACTGACGAAGCTCCGTGCTGGCTTGTACGTCATGCCGCTCACGCCGATGCCGACTTCTACACTACTAGGTATGTGGCCCGCTGGATCCATCAGCGGACCTAACGGGCTCGCCAAGGGACTTTCCAACGGACTCTCGGGCGGTCCACCTGAGCCCGGGCTCGCCAGGCCGAGATTCAATGGCGAATTGCCGTTGTTGTTGCCGGCACTATTGCTGCTGCCGAGGCCGCCACTCGCGTTGCTGCTCGTGTTATTGTTGTTGTGGTGCTGGCTAGCTTGCATCACCGCTTGCAGATTTGACGACAGACTGGTAGGCAAACTCGTCGACAGGTTCGTCGCCATCATATCGTGTTGCTGCGAATGCGCCGCTGCCACCATGCTGCACATCTGGTGTCGCAAACCTGATGGATATCGAAATTAATATAGAAAAATTGAAATCTCGACAGGATAAATACAATTATTTTGCCAAAAATTTCCAATTTTTGAGAGAGAAAGATTTTAGTATATTTTTTAGAATTTCGATATAATTGAAATTAAAAAATATTAGGTCTTCTTTAAACTTTTTGATACATTTCTGATACATTTTGAAAAGAGAGTATGTAGCAATATACGTATTATAGTTTTAAAAAAGCCGCTTTTTTCAAATTGCTGCAAAAACCGGAAAATTTCGATTTTTTTTCCGAAAAATTGCTGTTTTTGCTATGTATAATAAGTAACTTTTCAGTTTCTTTATAAAATTAATGCGATCTATGAAATTATGTAGCATTAGTTATTTTTATTTTTATTAAAATTTTTTAGTTATCCTTCTTTTTTATAGTAAAACCTAATCTAATCTTCTTTTAGTACATAACAAAGCCTAAGTAGACAGATTTTTAACTCTAGTTTGCCACACCCGGTCTAATGAACTCCTGAAGTGTCTCTTTGTAGTTAATTTTTTTTCAATATTTTGTTACGAATTCAGTTTAAATCCAAATTATTTTCTAGACCTACTATTATCATATAAACATGATGTTTGGACTCTATATTTTTAATTCTTACATTAATGGTGCAATAGTGTTTTGTATGTTTTATTGAATACATTATGCGACCTCAATCTTTTATACTTCTACAATCTTTTGTACTATTTTTTATAATTTCAAAATTTCTGTTAACTTATCCCGCTGTGTACCCTATACGCAATTATTTTTTTTACGAAAGAACCGAGAAGCAAACGTGGTAGGTTTTACGAGCACGCATGAATTTTTCCAAAATGAATTTTTCTACCCTTGGGAAAAAAATCAAAAAAATCCGCGGAAAAATTGGAAAAACTGAGTTTTTTTCCGATCCTTTAAAACTATAATACGTATGTTCATATTTGACGTTTTTTATTTATTTTAGTGTGTAATTTCACCCTGAAATATCGACATGCATTTATGAATCACTCTGTATGTGCGCGCGCGCGTGTGCGTGTGACTACACACTTTATAGTTTATTACTGTTATAGTATTATTATATATTATTACGTAACATTACTTTTATTATTAGTAATAGCGAGGGAGTAATCACTTAATATAATCGTGGGACAGAGTCCCTGAAATCATTATAAAATTCATATGAAATTCCTATGTATAATCCGATAATTACATGTGCAATCACGAGAAATCATTGTGTAATATTATTAGATAAAATCGTTTATGTTACCAAATGACTTCATATGTAGTGAAGAAAATTATTTGTAATGAGATGAAATTGTATGAAATCATGTAATCTATGGGATAATATTTCAGCTAGTGGTTACCCTCTCGAGTAATAGATTACGTTTATGGAATGCATTTCAACGAAACGGTCAAGTATCTCAATCCGCCCCGCATAGTATGTAAAGCATCAATCACTGGTCTCGGAAAAAATAAGAAAAAAAAATGAGAAAATCTGGTGTTGCCGTTACCTTGAGCGACCGCTGCGACCGCAGCCGCAGCTGCCGCACCCGGGCTGACTGCGCCTTCCGGGCCATTGCAAGCCGCGTAGTTCGCCAGGCTGGGGTACATCGTGGTCGGCTCCTCCTTAACGATGTGTGGCGAGTGCCCGTCGCGGAATACCACCGCGCGAATCACACCGCGGATATGCTCGTCTGGCCAGACACCCAGCAGAATCCTCTGCGGTCGTCCTCGTCCCTTCGGGCGCAAATCTACGGAAGAGAAAGAAGAAGGGTAAAGGAAAAGAGGGCAATGAAGAGGAAGAATTCATTTCACTGCAAATCGGTTCTGTGATTGTGCATGTGGTCGTGATGGTTGCCTCGCTACTCGTTTTCTCGCGTTGGTGCTTCTTCGAGAACCGCGAGAATAATCGTGTCTCATAATCTCTCTCGACATGAAATTAAAATTTAATAGATTTAAGAAAGAACGAGGACGAGATTCTTATGCGACATTCGAGGAATCATTGGACTTTATTAATGAAGAAATCTCCGTGATAAAGATGCTGCGCTAAATAAAGAATTCTGAACGACAATTGTTAAAAAAAATCTTTTTAAATTTTTCGTTTGTTTATTAGAAGAAAAGGTGATAACATATAAGATTCTGCTCTGTGCTACTATTTTAAGTGGACTCCACTTAAATTCTGTTATAATTAATATCTCTTGCAAAAACTTTAACTTGTTCTTAGATATCGAAGTTGTGAAATAATTCCTACCACGACCGGCGCGACCTTTTTGTTGAATTGATGTTTTCCTATTACGAGATATATCAAAGTTTTTTTTGTATGATATTTAATATTACGTTTGGCTTAAAGATCATGAGTAACAAATTTATACTCTAAATTAGTTCTTAAGGTGCTGTTCTATTTTGAGAAGATAAGTAAGCTTGAATAATTGTATTTTCGGACATAATTAAATGTAAATTTTGTTAATGTTCTTATATTGGGTTCTTAACAAGTGAACTCCGGGATTGATTTTAACGAAGAACATTGCATTGTTTTTCGTTAAAAATCTTTGTGGTTATCATTTGAAAATGATTTTAAGAAATCCTTAGAGGTATCTGTGAAGCAAGAAAGAAATGCTCGTAAACGTTCCCGAGGGCAGAATCAACGCAAGAGTATTGCTCGAAGAACGTATTCATGAAAAGTAACGTCTGAATCTGATAATATCTCAATATATTCAGAATTTTCTATGAATTCAAGTTATTTGGACTTCCCATGAAGTCCAAATAAACTTGAAGAATCTAAATTCTGTAAAAACATTGGGAGATTCATTTTATGATGACATTTAGATAGTCACATCGTAATGTTTCTTTTCGTTTAAATAATTTTTCATATTTTGTGGATTGTCTCAATCATTTCAAGTGTATTTTATACATAAACTTAGATTCAAAAATTATCGTTTGCGATATCGTGATTTAAAACTAAATAATTATATAATTAAACAAATAAAAAATACACACAAAAAATAAAAGAGAGATATCTATATTACCAACCCCCTTTTCTTCTAATTAATTCATCAAGGATATTTTTCTTTGTTCGAAACTCGACTATTGAATCGTGAAAAAAAGAATTCACACGGTGTTTTAAGATAAACTTCATCTGAGCTTCTCTCATTTGAATCGCAATTACAAATACGAGTTGAGAATATCAAATCGACTTTTATCTATTGAACTGTTCCACGTTTCAAAACTAGTTGAGTTCCTTAGCAGAAACGCGACTATAAATACGAGCCTTAATGATACGTTTGATCAGTGTTTACTGGACGTTACATGCTAATGACGCGTAACTAAAGGTTACTATTAGATATTAAGTCCGGTCATAATTGCACGATGTAATTGCGGCTTTTACGAACGTAATTGACTTTTCAGGCTTATTCTTCTCCCGATCCAATGCCGTTTATCAACTATTTACAATTAGCCACACCGTCGCGGTTCATTATACGAGTTCTTTGCGTGATCGACCAAGGTTTTAAGAACGTTTTAAAAGCCACGATGTTGAACGCGTGGAATTTCAAGTTCGTTTCGAGTTTACCAAGTAAATCATGAAGAGATAAAATATATCTTTTTTATATTTTGAGGCATAAGCGTAAATTTTCTGTCACGATTTTTCTTTCCAAACCATAAATTCTACATAAATTTTTCAGCTGTTCTCTTTATAATGTATGCCACTCGTGTTCTGACGCTCGGTGTTATAATAATAATCTACTGCATTTAGATTCTATTCGATCGACATTAATCTCGCTCTCGTCAATGAGAAATATATTGTTAATATACCATAAATTCTACGTATATGCCAAAATTCCTACAGGAGACTTTTTTTTATAAAAAGTTTTTCGTTTATTACAAAGATAATATTTCAATTATTACATATCTTTTTACATAATTTTGAGAAATTTATTTTATTCTTTCTTAATAAATTACTAATTAATGTTTACTTCCTAAAAATAAGATTTTTTTCCAAGGATCTCTCTCCTATACGAATACTTTGTGCAATCATTATAAATTCTTCAATCATCTTTTTTAACACGATATGTCATTCGTATCGCGGTTCTCGATATTTCTCCATTGTTACAATAATCCGCTGCGTCTCGATCCGGTTGTTGGCATTGTCTCTACTCTCATCCTTGAGAGACGCAATGAGTGCATTCAGCGGACTCAACAATTGAGTGAGTGCTCGCTGCATTATTGGTGTATTCTTCTAGATCATCCAATCAGACGTTTAGATCTAGAAAAATACATTAATAGCAGCGAGCGCTCACTCTACTGTTGAGTCTGCTGAATGCGCCCATTGGCTGCGTTCAGCAGAGAAAACTAATCAATGAGCTCTCAGTGATTCTTTAATGTGATTGGTTTTTGTTCTTCGCTAGATCTGACATGAGTGTAGGAACTAATCATATTAGAGAATCCACTCATTAATCAGTTTTCTCTGCTGAACGCAACCATTGTTGATCGAAGAGCGAGGGGCATTTTCAGAGGATACTAAAAATGGCAACTAATACTTACCGGCCCCGCCGTCAGCGCTAGGACCTAGCATGTTGTGTACTCGATTCGCGTACAGGACAAACGTCGGGTAGGGGATATCGTATTTCCTGAAAGGTAGAGAAGGGATACAATTATAATTTGTAGCTTATAATTATAATCAACATAATTTATAGTTTTGCTCAGCTCCACCACGTATCTTACATCGCATTACGTTACGTACTCTTAATTAACTTTAGCTATTCTATCCCGCTTGTTCGTATTTTAATGCTGTTTTATGTGTTTATCCCGTTTCATTACGTAATTTCATTTTAATTTATATTAATTTTATTATACCGACGGAGAATGAAAGATTCAACGGAACATATTTGAATGCATGACGATGGAAATTATGCAATCTCTCGAAATTATGCAATCGCGTGGGGAATAGGTACCTGCGATGACGTTGTGCGTTTAACGAAGTAACGTAGAACTCTTCGCGAAGAGTAACGAGAAAATCGCTCGTCTCGTAGTTGTATCTTGCGCGATTATTGTCGCATTTCGTCGTCTCGTTTGCTCATATAAAAAATATATCAATTGAAACATAAATATATCAATGTTTATGAAAAATATATCGTGACATTGAAATATATCAATGAAATTAAATTAAAATAAGAAGCCTCTTACAGATGAAATAGAAATTTATGAAATGGCAGTAGAGTCGTGTTGCGTTGGCGGGAAGTATTTGAAAAGCATTATAGATCGTCGAATCGATTATCGTAAAAATTATCGCTCGCAGCTCGTAAAATCGTGCTTTATTGAGTCGCTTTGTACGCGAATTAAAAGAAATCCCTTTAACGGCGAGTCGACGTTGTTACGCAAACGTGATACAGGCTTTACGACATCCGCCGCGCAAATGATTTTAAAGCAAGCCGCTTTGAGCGGAGTAGATCGGATGATTATTTAGCATGATTCAAGTACGGCGATAAGGTACGCTTGATGCAGGATAATTTCCAGGAATTTTTCATTGCGTAATAACCCGGCTCTATTGTACGCGCCGCATCATAAGACATTTATATAACAATTTTAACTATTTACCCGATACATTGCGTGAGTTGGCGCACACGGAGGAAACAACGGCGCGGCATAAGCTCGCATAAAATGTTTATCTTTTGCGTATCAATTATTAACGTTATAAAAGAACACGCTGCCGCGGGCGCGGGACCAACTCTTGGGATAAGCAATTAAAATAATTCTTTAATTTTTATATTAACGCATTTCATCACTCGGTGTTAATATTAAATGATACGCACCAAAGTTTTATGCAACTGCGCGTGGAATATATTATTAATTTTATTATTGGTTCCATTGCGCGGATACACACGGATGGTGTACCCATCGTATACGGAAAATGATTGCGAGTAAATTAATTATTTTTGCAGTATACATCGGAGACATCTCGATATATTTTTTAAGTTAACGCGTTTTATATCAGCCAGTATTAATATATTATATGTAATATAGTGAAAAAGTGCAATTAAATGAGATAAATAATTTTTACAAAACAGCGTTGGACGTTGGAATATTTTTAAGATTAATATGTTATATCGATCAATATTAATATTACATGAGTTCGATGGTACTGCAGGCTATTTATTTTTGATGCAGTATTTTTTAACGCGATTTTTTCTTCCAAATAAATGTTTTATCATTCTAGCAATTAGTTCTAGCAATTAGTGAGATATATAAAGACATAATGTCGTAAGTACGTTATAAAATATTTAATAATATATTTCAAGAAATTAACGAATTAATTTAATGCTATATAACGATTAACATTAAATGTTGTCCAAAATTTGTAATTCTAAGCGTTGACCTAAGGTGTGTCGACGTTTATTGCACAGCTTAAAAGTTAGCGGAATGAAATGAGCACAATAAATTTGTTATATAAATAAAAATATTAGAAATTGACTCTGCATTTTGTTCCGCTAATTTATAAAACGTACTGTTCAATACCTTAAATTTTTTTTTCTGTCTGGATTTTTAATATTAATGTACTGAAAAAAATACTAAATTCTAATAAATCATTTATTTGAAAATAACGCAAGCTAAATATTTATTTAAATATATATTATAAAGATATATTTATTTAGTACAAAAAAACATTAATTTGATTTAATAATCATTTCTTTTGTAAATATTTATTTACTGTAAGTAAATATTTAATTGGCATATTCAAATAAATATTTATTTACATTTAGGATATTTTTTTCTTAGTGTACATTAAAATATTTTAAATAATACAAAATTAGTAAAAGTATGACTGCTTTGAAAACGCACCTTGCCGCTTGGCTGAGGGAGAGTCCTTCCTTCAGCACGCTGAAGATCGCCTCCGCCATAGTCTCTGGTCGCCAAGACTTAAGGGGTCCACGTTCCCGGAAGCGTAGATTGTGCACCAGACTCTGGTTGGTGTTCCAGCACTTCTGCCACATGGACTGCAGCTGGTACTGGTAGCTGTCTGCTAGTAAACGCCCCCCGTGGAAAAGAGAAAACACAGAAAAGCAGCTATTAGTCGAGGCGATCGACCAGTTTAAGAGCGGGAAGAGAAAGGAAACAAAGGGGGAAGGCAAGGAATTCAGGGTGAATAAATGTCCTCATTATTGCATGATTCTTTTATTAATTGATCGTCCATCACGCTCGTCTAACATGCGTTCAGTTGACGAGCGAACTCTCGCGAAAAGTCCTCAATCTGCGTGCGGTCGATCCATCGATCGGGATCGAAACGGGGGAGGGAAAATGAATCGTTGTCGCGCAAGCGATTCCGCACTGTGCAAGTTTCACGTCGAATCGATATCCGCTCGTCTGAATGCACGCAGGTGCATCTACCGTTTATACCTTGAACGTGGGCGGAGTCACCTAGAAAACGGCGCTTAAGAAAGACAGGTATGTTGTGTTGTGTGTGTGTGTGTGTGTGTGTGTGTGTGTGTGTGTGTGTGTGTGTGTGTGTGTGTGTATCTATTCACGAGTGTGGTAAAGTAAATCTAAGGAATTTACGTCTTTCTAGGTGAAATCCAAATATCGATTGTATTGCCGTTCGCCGTACAATCGTTACAGAACATTAGAGAATCGTTGTTAAACGGAATAAAAGCGCATTGCGGTTAACGTCAACGCGTGTCACATTAATGCTACTTAACATTAAACCTTTTCTTACTTAATGTTAAACACGAACAAAGAATTATTGCGTTCGCGGAGGGAATTCTATAGAAACACGGAATGTACTTTAGAGCACGTCTCAACTTAAGAAATCGGGAACGCATCGTAAACATCTCATATAAAACGACCCAAAACAAACAAACAAACCGTTTTAGAACACACATCCTGTATCGCTGGTTATCAAAAAATTCGTTTATATTCCGGAGTAACTTGAACTCCTTATTGCTCTTTGCTTTATCAACGAAACAAAATTGAAGTAAAAATATCAAATCAAATACAATTCCACTTAAATCATCAGACTTGACATTTAGCGTTATATAATGCGAAAACGTAATAAATCAATTAATCATTAATTCACTTATAATTGCTTTATTATAATAATATCGTCATGTCCGATCAGACGGCTCGCAATAAAGAGTACATGTCACTTGGCGCCGATATATCACATGCTATTATAACGCATTAGAGTCTCCTTGACGGAGTATTTTTTAGCGTCGCGTGTGGAAAAATTTATCAAATAAGAGAATCTTGATCGACCCGAGAGAAATTGGTGACGCGAAAAGAGCGGGGGACCTAAAGCGAGGTAACGGGTAAAAGAAACGTCCGGCGTGGCGACACATTTACAGTTGACTTCCGCCGTTCGCGTATGGCACGTATGACCGGCCTCAATTCGCAACAATTATTTGATAGTTAACTTATTAGGTCTAATTAAGCCTCCTAACCAATTTGACGATTAATACAATTCATCGGTAAAACGCGCGCGCGCGGCTAGTCTGGCTATTTTTAGACCCGCATTCTCGCGGCGCATTTGACGCCAAATCCCCGCTTCGTGTTATAATACCGTTCAAATATCCGACAACGAGTGACAATATCTGGTGACTTGAACCACATAGCTACGTTTAATCCTTCGGAACTGACGTGAGCCTATTGGATTCATTTAATTATATGTTTTATGTTACATCTATAAATTTAAATTAACGCACCGTTTGCAATTCAAGTCTTTTTTGACGAAAAAATAAAATTTTACTCTCAAATTTCCTTCTTATTTTTCAATTTTTACTGAATAAAATTTTAATATTTCATTTCAACAACACATAAGTTAAAAACTATTTGGTAATGTAATAGATGTTGAAAAGTAACTGAATTTTTCTACATTTTTTGAAGATCTAAAACAGTGAAAAAATTTGAGCCAGACAAAAAATCCAGATTGCAGACGGAGGTTAAATGATAAATTTAGTATTGATTTTTTTTATATGAGTTATGTTATTTTGATTCCTTGAAATGAATTAATGCTTTTTAATGAACATTATATTAAATGAGTCTCGTAGACCTATGACAATCAGTAACTGTGTTAGAGATTTTGACATCAGTTCCGAAGGATCAACGGCTGAATTACATACGATCAATTTTACTTATATGAAGGCACTAATGTAAGTACATTTTCTTCTTTCGTGGTTACTCATCGCTTTCGAGTAATGCATGCAGTTGCTAACAGAATCGAAAGTAAAGACTTTCTTGCTTCGACCAAGGAAGATTCTAGTGAGACAGTCTTTCATGTGGAACGGCATAGCGTAATGTCGCTTTCATTCATGTTACGCGTTCAATGACGTTACGCAACGTCTTGTTTGGGATCTGGTCCAAGTCTTTTATTAACGCACCGGAGAGGAATCGTCCTCTACGGCGACCGCTCGCGAATACCGCGGGATTACAATCTTGCGCGGCATGATTATCTCCAAGGCGGTAGCACCGTCGTAACGTGGCCTGGTTTACGGCCCCACCGTGAGATATCTCGCCTTTACTTTACTTTCGATACTTTATCGGGGAATGTCGCGCGCACGCCTATTTTAATACCGTTCATTCACACTTAATTCTCTCTCCTCTCGCACTCCCTGCTCTCCTCACGTTTGCAAGCGCACCTCGCTTACCACTCGGCGTGTCGCACTTTTAGTGGACGCGCGATAACACCGGTATAATATTACATCGTTCTCGCCGGGATTCAATTAACGCGCCGCTCGTAAATACGCGAGCTGCAAGTCGCCCCCCGGGGGCGACGATCGACGATAATGTGACGCGAGAAGTACGCCAACGCCGGTCGTCGAAGGAGAAGGCGTTTCGCCGTTTTTTTTTTCATGAGCTCCGAGCGAGTTTGCGGACGCGAACGATAACGTAAAGTCCCTGATGCGAACGAAAGGTACGTCTGGACGACCTATATGAAATTATTTCGATCGTCGCTCGTTATACATCGTTCTTTACCGTAAGATGACAATAATATTAAGACTATTCGCTACCAGCACTTTTTTAGCGAGTTATTTTGAAATCTGACTTCGAGTCTTTATCGGATGAAATTAGCGGCGTTACGTTCTTCTCGGAGAAAAGCCGAGCGAATGGCTTTTGACGTTAATTACCACGTGTTGATAATTGCTGGATATTAGTTGCTTATTGCTCGCGACGCTCAGCGACGCTCAGCGCGTGTACACGTCAGTCGCAGTCAATAATTGCCGCAAAAAGTCGGCTAAAGCGTACCCTGTTAACGTCCGTGTCCTGTTCTCCGCGCGCGTAATTGAGTCGTTCTTTTTCGCCTCGAGCACACCGATGCCGATAAAAATATCGTACCCGTCGTCCTGTCCCGCGACACGCTCCGGTGGTGGTAGTATAATCTAATATCACTCCTCTCGCGTCGTCGCGCTGTCAAGTATTGTGCGTCATGGAATGAGATTTTTTTTCGCAAACGACAAACTAAACGCATGAGGAAGATATGCCCCCTAAAAGTTTTCACCGTCAACTATTTCGAGGCCAATGTTTATTCAGAGAGTTATTATAGCGGGATATTGCATTCCACACTGAAAAAAAAAAGTTTGATATTTGTGACTATAATTGCACGGTAAAATAATTATGGCTAGGAGCTCCATTTTTATAATTATTATAATACTATAAATGTTAATAAAAATAATATGGCTGTGTTCAAGAGAAAAAGCAGCTTTGCAAATGTTGAAATTCTTCAATATAGTTGGTTTATCCATTGAGGAAAATGAAAATGACTATAAATTTATAATTATTTTCGGGACCATTTATTTTTTGATATGTAGAACTATAAATATACTTATTCTTACTACCATTATAGCAGTAATAACTATAAAAATGGAGCTCCTAATCATAAGTATTTCACTACCGATTATAATCACAAATACCAAAAATACTAATACCTTTCTCTCGTTGTCAGTGCAGTTCGCAATTACAACGAATTTGATTTTGATTTAATCGCACGAGCGGAATTGTGCGTATTTGTAAAATATGGTGCGCGTGTTATTTTTACGAACAAATTTTTGTATCAGCTAGGTCGAATAACGATCTCCCGTTTTATCACGATTTAACGTAATACGTTACTTGAGTCGCGTGTCGGCAAATTCAGAGCCGATATATATTTAGATGTATGCCTCTCTTTTATACGGTTCGCCGCTTTGCTCTACTTTCATTACGTTTATCTGCGACTATTCCTTTTACGCATTACATCCGTACTATTTATATTGCCATTAAATAACTGGCATAGCTGCGCGACCATTACAACTTATAATAATATTGCGTTCGCGCGTTATTATACGCGGTACGTGCTGTGAAACATTTTTGTTCGTTGATTGAATATTTATCGCGCCACTAGATCGACTTTCACAAGTAGGCGGCATACTTCCTTCATCCATTTGCTCTCCTCACGTTCCTAAATCATCTTTCTAATCTTCCTTAGCCTCAAACAATGCCTCGATTTAACAGGGAACGGATGTGTGCTCGTTTCATAAACGCGATTATCCATTAGGCAGATTTGGAATGTTAGCAGAAAACGCGCGCTCTTTCTTACAAAGAATCGCCTTTCTCCTCGCCATGATCCTAATACACTAGAGATAATTATCTCGCAGTTATTGTCGGCAGCGAAAAGACTCGAGTATACAAGGTGCGTAACATGGCAACGCTAATAATTTAAACAAATATTCCGCTAATAATAAAACTCGTAGAAAATATATGTCTAGTTACGACAATACCGTAAGCATCGACAACGATCTCGGTGATAATTTGGTCCCGTTGAGTCGGAATATACACATGACGATTGGAAAGTATGTACAAAGTGTAGTACATGCGAAGAACCGAGTGTATACCTCGGTTTTATACAGTCAGAGAAAAATGTAGCAGTTACTATAAAGCTGACAAATAAAACTACACAATATGTTCATATATATATAATATATATATATATATATATGTTGAATTTATGTACATAGTTGAATAATTATAAAATAGTTTATTCAACTATATACTTATATTTTACACATAAAACCCTATATATAAGAGTATAATTAGACTATATAAGGGTATAATTATACTATATAAAGGTATGATTATACTATATTATTATACTATATAATTACCCTTATAGTTGTCATCTTACTGCCATCTTATTGCCATTGTTTTTTTTCTCTGAGTGTATATTCGTCGATTAAATTACGTGGAAGACGGAGATGAGTGGAAGGCACTAAAGTCATTACATACTAAATCATTCCCAAGTATGATTTGCAAGAATGCGACTCGCAAGAAAGCGCTCCCGAAATTGATGCGACACGTTCGAAAACGTTTCTGCGACGCTATTTCCTTTTCTCAATTGGCATTAAATTTCTCTTATTATAACTTTAAGGTCATGATAGATTAACGCGTTACACTTTTGTTTTAATTAATTGTGGAAATTTTCATAAAAGCTTAACGTCGAATGCATCTCTATCCTGTCTCTCGCTCTCTTTTAGTATAAATATTTCTCGCGTGCGTTCTCAATATGAATCGAGTTATCCGCAAATAAATTAACGTGAAGTCCTTTTATTGTATAATATGTCATGGAAATTCTATTACTTCAGAAGCGCTGGAGAACCGAGGGAAAAAGGATCGGAGAATATTGTCGCGAGGGAATAACCGCGCTAATCGCCGTTGATGCAATCGATTCTGATGGATATTAAATTTAATCGAACGTAGACATTTTTTGCCGATTAAAGTCCCCACCCGATTTTACCGCGTTATCATTTCGTGCGGGCACGCGACGCGAACGCGGCGTTCGATTTTCAATTAGCAGGCAAATTCTTCCCGCGACCTTGCTTGTGCAGCGATTTTCCGCGTTGAAGTCTACGGATTGCGCGTCGATTGTCGGTACCGTGCGGCGCATGCTCCGGAGGAATCATACAAGTGGATCAAAAAAGAAAAAAAGGAAGACAGAGGAGGACAACGATCGCGAAAGTGTTCAAACGTGTCCAGTATTTGAAGATGTTTCGTTAAATGTTTCTTTTTTTTATTTGGTCCTTATAAGGATTCTTATAATCAAAACTTTTAAAAGAGTAGATTTAAAGGCATCGTATTTAATTTCAGGATAATCGAACGCGACATCGAGCAGTGCCGTCTCTTATTAGAACGCTCCGGTCACCTTTAAACATACCGTTTTTTTTTTTTACGACCTGAGAATGCGAATGCATCTCCGGAGAGGCGAATAAAGGTTGCATGGCGCGTCGTGTCGCGTCCGACGGCATGCCGCTCGAAATCCGACTGAACTTACTGTATTCCCTTTGCCTTAATGTCGTCTGAATGAACTCGTTGTCTCTGGGACATTAAATTTTCCACATTTTTCTTCATTTCTCATCCGCAAGGCAAAGGGACTGCCGCCGCATTCTCGGCTGACGAGTCTCGCAGTCGCGACAATCGAGAGAAAGACACGGCAGAATATCACTTTGGATTACATTTTCGCGCAATTCTACTTAATCCTTCGGAGCTGATACCAAAATTTCTAACACATTTATTGGGTCTGTAAGATCAATTTAATTTATATTAATTAAAAGGCATTATATATATATATATATAATTAATTCCTAGGAATCAAAATGACATAGAAAACGAATATTAAGTATATTTTAATAAAAATTCAAATTTACAAAGGTAATATAAAGAAAATTGAACTGTTTGACAAAGAAATTTATTATACAATTAAGGGTCCAATACACTCCGAAGGATTAATAAGAATCAACGCGCGTCAGTCGAAAAGATCGAGCACTCACTGAATCGAAAAAAGAGACGAAGCAAATTTTCACTAATGATTTCATAGATAGACGAAATTGTTCGCGAATATTATATCTGTACGCAACAGAAAAATTAAGAGAATAGCATGATTATAAATAAAATTCAACGCGTTGGTCACACAAAATCTGGAACATATAAAAAATTACGTTTATTCTCCAACGAAGGCTTTTCAAAACCATATGTTTCTCCGCGATCAATTTTGGCATTTGGTGGACCGGCGGGCGTTAAGAGGAATCGGCACCGTTCTCGTTCTCGTCGTTGATGTAGAGCGAGACTATCGAGTGCTTCTTGCAAAAGGCCCACCACCAGCGGAAGCCCGACAGTCCGGTGAACATAAAGCCGGGATCGTGCTTCCGCCTGAGACGCTCGACGAAGTTCAATATCGCATTCAGGGACTTCTTCGTGCGCCGATTGTACGGACTGACGCTGATATCGCAGCAGAATTCGAGCACCGCTGTTTCCTCGCTTGGATCGAGGGCGGTTTCTTCGAGAATCATCATCCTCTTGGACTTGCCGAGGATGTTGTCGTAGAGAGTGCCCTTCGGGATGCCGTACTTGGTGGATGCCTGGGTGAAGCGCATCTTCTGGGTCACCACGGCCTCGATCGCTTCCTGGAGATCGTGCCGCGTCCACGTGGGCGCCTTCAGCTTCAGCAGGGTCGTATAGTCAGCTAGAAAATAGTCAGCGGTTTCTTTTTGACTTTTCAGCCTCGTTTCTCGTCTTTTAATTTTTCGCGTTGAGAACCGCGCGGAAAAGCCGCACCTAGAGAAGATTGAAAATCGCGCACCTTGATGAAGCTTTCTCCCTCTTTTATCTCTTTCACTTTCGCTTTATTCTGCGTTATTCTATATATTCGGATGTCTTTAGCGTAAACATCCGATAGAACAGCAGGTGGAGTTTGTTTGTTATACAAGAGAAGAGATGATAATTATAAATATTTATGCAAGGTTAGAAAACATGCTGAAGATCCTTCAGAGTGAATCGTAAAATTCATGAAGCAATAAACAGTTAATGTTTGCAAGTGCGAAAACAAAAGTTATGAAAGAGTTAGTAATAAATAAAAAGCTCTAGGAAGAGAATAGGAACGAAAGACAAAGTATACTGGTATTTTGCGGAATTCACGTAATTGTTAAGGATTGGAAATTATATGTATTATATATAGTTTATAATTAAAAATTATATTGCTGTGCTATTTTTTCGTATAGACTAAATAAGTGATTAACGCAGCTTGCTAATGAAAAGAAAGCACGAAACCTGGGAGGTGGCAAGTAAACGAAAATAGGATCAGAATATACGGTGAAGCACTCTCGAGTAAAAATATATCACACCGAGTACGAATTTTACGAGGCTCTCAAGATTCATTCGTCCTGAGTAAGCAATCAAAATAATTTACCAACACTAAAACGAGGAGGTGGCAACGGCAACTTAAAAAGAGCATCGCGGGATTCAAGGGGAATCCCTTCTCAAAGACCCTTACGAAGAAACGAGTTGACTTCAAGCGATCGGCTTGAAATTAAAACATGTCGATTTAATTGATCATTTTACATGTGTCGCTATCGATGATTATACGGTGCAATTATTATAATTGCACTGTAATTATCCTTTTAGTCGTGCGTTAATCATTGCATTGCCGATCAACTTGAAGCGAAAGAGCCGGCGAGAAGACGAGGGCAGGGCGAAAGGGAGAAGCGGGAATTGCGGGCCACTGTGTGGTCCACAGAGCGCGTCACACCCACGCGTGTTAGCAGCAGTTAACGTCACTCATGTCGGCCAAGCGATTTATGTGGTGTCGCGGCGCCGCGTCGCTCCGCACCGATTTCTGGTTCGCGAACTGCGCGCAATTGCGCAGGAAGAAATTTAATCCGTCGTTATAATTATCGCGTTATCGCGGACAGGAAATGATGATAGGTCTCTTCGCGACAAGCCAGATTTTATTTTACTCTCGTCGCGGTGTGAATTCGCACGTTTTGTAAATTAATTAAATGGTATTTCCAGCGCAGATCTGTCACTTCCTCGTATAATAGATGGATATTTTAAGCACCATCGCTAAAACTGCTTAATATACACCGTTTCGGCATGAGGGGAATCGGAAAAAAAATGAAAAAATAAAAAAATAGGAAAAACCCGCAAGTCGCTTTTTCTTTCAGCATAACAATTCGTGATTGCATAGAAATATGAATAATCTCGTTTCGTGTGCGAATTGATCGTCCCACAACTGCCGCGCCGGGAATGATAGCCAGTGAATCAAAAAAAGAAAGGAAAAAAAAATCGCCACGTATCGCGTGTAATGGCGTCGTGACTAAATCCGGGCTGGGAATAATCGCGTCGAATAATATTATCATACAATGGCGTTTTGCCACGCGGTGCACGTGCAACCTGTAGTTTTGCGCGGGGCATTTTCTCTCGGATTGGCAAATCGTCGCTCACACCAGGCGGACAATCGCGGCTAAACGAACAATCGTGCTTAGGCAATTGCGTCCTCAAAAGACGCGTGTAGATTAAATATTAATCTGATTACTGAGTCGCCTCATTGATTGGGATGTATATCGTGAAATTCTTAATCTTTCAGTTTACAGCGACAAATCCATGATCTACGTCTACCATCGAAAGCACGAAGGTTTCTTTCTTTCTCTTTTTCTTAGAAAATTAATGAAAATTTTTCCGAAAATTAACGCTCCACCGGCCAAGTTGAATTTTTAAGGCATATATCTTAAAATTTAATTATTATAGATACAAATCTGAAAATAATTTTGTTGGATTATCAAAATAACTAAGTAGGATGTTCAAATTAGTTGCTATAATGTCGAAATTTTTTGCAGCACTACTCATCATATTTAAGTTTCTTGTATTATTATTTTGATAATCTAAAATTATTTTCAGATTCGTATCTAGCTAAATTTTAAGATACTTGCTTTCAAAGTCCAACTTGGCCGGTGCAGTGGAGGGTTAACATTTTCAGATCTATCTATATCTAAATGTGTAGATATTTCAGCAAAGTCGTTTTTTCCTTGTATAGTAAAAATTCGTTGTTAAAATTTTCACAAGTATGTAAGAATTTTTTCAGATTTTTATCTAGTGGAACAACATAAAAATTTACACTGAAGCCCAAGTTGCTGACAGAAAGTGCAAAATTTTATATGGCTGATGGAGGGTTAAAATATGTCTGCAACTGAAACGTAGAAATAGCGCACTTTCAACCGTTCAAGTTTCTCGACCTCGAAATGGATATTGTCTAAGGAATGAAACGTGGTTTTTGTAAAAAAAAAAACCGTTACTTTTTATCATTACTTTGTTATAATAAAACGATTTGATAATGATGTTGCGAATTTTTTATGGCAGAAACGGTAAAACCAGAATTAAAAAAGTCAATTGTTATCTGTTTGTAACAGAAAAGTCACTCGTTACTGAAAAAAGAAATTCGTTATTTGTAACGAGTTACTTTTACTCGTTATTTGTAACACATCACAAGTAACGAATTACTTTTTTTCAGTAAATAGTGTATAATGGTGACAGTTACTTTTCAAAATCACTTTCCCAATCTTAGCACAACCTTAGCATTTAGTTAATTATCGTTACAGTCACAAAAGTTGCAACGTTATTATCAAATCGTTGCTATAAAAAGTAACGGTATTACTATACTTTCAATCCCTGATATTGTCAACAAGAAAATTATATATCGAGTAAGGGTATTTAATCTTCGAAATTTTAAATTACTCATTTTTCCGTGGTAAACACCGAGCGAAAGTGGAGATCCGATGTTCGCTTTAAGAAACGTTCTCGTCGCGGACGAGAAAAGCGCGGAATAAATAAGCGTGATCGTTAAAAGAAGCAAACAGCCGGCGGCAGCGGCCACGTCTCATGGGAAGTCAAGGAGTAATCGAAGAAAATGATTTAAGCGAACCGAGAGGGGAATATGCGCCTACGCACGCAGTCGGTATACGCTTAAGCACGCACGTACGCACGCACGCACGGTCGTACGCACGCACGCACGGCACCGGGGATCAATTCGAGACGCATATTGCGACGTTTATGTGCGTTTATGCGCGTTTATGCTCGAGCATACGTACTACGGCAAATCAGGGCTTGAAGATGAAGAATACGACTGGGAAAATTATTTGAAACCTCGTTTGAACAACTAGAGCTTCCATACACTGAAAGAAAAGTATTTGTGATTATAATTGGCTGGTAAAACAATTGTGGTTAGAAATTTATAATTATTGCTGCTATAATATTAATAATAATAATCTTATGATTATAATTATAATTACATAAAAATGGTTGCAAATACTATAATTTAACTATAACTTTTATAGTTACACACAATAACTATTATTATTTAGTCACTTAAGGTTGCCAACTATATATATAATATATTTGTTCTATGCATATAATTATTTTTACTAACATTATAGCATGTTATTATAATAATTGTAATTGTGGTAATATGTAATTATAATCACAAATACCAAAAATTCATAGCTTCGAGCATTATGCATAGAACAAAAAACACACAATTATGCGAAATTACAAATACTTCTCAAACCTCTTGAGTATATAGACGCTGATTTAACCTTTAGAGGATCGGACTGGCCACTATATATTGGCCAACAACAGAAGTCTGTATAACTTGAATCACCGCAACCCATCAAATATTCCAGCTATTATTTCATTAATATAATTGAGAATGTGTTTTGAAGATTTTCATACAATACAGACTTTGCCATAAATTTCAATATTTTCACTTGATAGGTGGAAAATGATAATTGGCAAAAAATAATATAAATAAAAAATAAATAAATAAAAATGTAAAAAAAATATAAAATGTAAAAAAAAACGAAAAAAATATCAATGTAAAAAAACGAAAAAAATATAAAATGTAAAAAAACGAAAAAATGGGACTATAACTTTCTACGTCCTCGTCGTTAGTCCTGGATTACGCTAAAGAAAAGTTTCATATGTACGTAAATGTCTGTTATTCAATTCGATTCTAGGTAAATAACACCATTTTTACATAAAATTTCGATAATCTGACTTTAGAAACGTGTTCTGCGACATCAAAAACATTTAGGAATACTAAAAACAAAAAATGAAAATTTTCCACATTGGCCACATCCCATTGCAGACCGGATTGACCACTATAGTGGCCAGCGGAAAACTCGTCGACTTCTCGTGACATAAACATTCAATATATACATGAATTTTACATTAAAAAAATTCAAAATTTCAAGACAAAAATGCCGGCCCTCTAAAGGTTAAAAGTGTGGACATTTTATTGCACCTGCTATTTAATTTCGTCCTTTGACTCATGGATTAATGTACCGGTAAAAATTGAAGGATCTTTGTTTTTAGTGTGATATCCAAAGATTTTACAAATGGAGACTTACATTCAAGAGGTATACCCGCGATCGATGGTGCGTAAGGGTTAGACGCTGAACCTTTCGCTTGCGAATCGCCGGCATGTTATCGCCGCTATTAACCGGCATCCGCTATCCGCAACGTCTATCTAAATTGCTTTCTATATTAAAGCAAAACGCATTCCCGCGCTTTATTATTGTCGGACCCACGCTCACGTTCCTCCTTTTATTTTATTATTGTTCGGCTACCACGTATAACTCCACATCGCGACCTCTCTTCGTACTCTCTCGTGTTGCCACCTCCCATGGTTGTCAACGACGACGACGGCCGTGCTTCCAGGAACCTTATCGTCCGCAAGTAGCATTTGAAAAGGCAAAGAAGGTAAATAATAAGATATTGATCTACGAATAATGACGGACGTTCCATCCCCGCGAAGACTAAAGGTCGAGCACGAAACTGGGAGACGATCAGTCGTCGTTTCTAGGACGAGGCTTGTCACATACAAAGCTGATGATTCAACTGTAGGGAACAACGTGACCATGAACTTGAAAATGGAGCGAAGCGAATCGGACAACAGCCCTCGAGGGATGCTCGAGGGATACTCGAGAACAGGAAATCTCCACTCGAACTCGGAAGGGATGATCGGTCGTTGCGCCACTACTTACTACGGAAACCGATCGTCGGAATTCGTTCGACAGATACAAGCGGCAGATAATGCGACAGATATTGTAGGAGAAGAATGTGAAGTCTTTTACAGATGTCGCGAAACAGGTTATACGGGGTGTCTTCGACTAATCGTACTTTCCTTTAACGATAAACGCCACGTAAATAATTAAAACTAAAGATAAATATCAACAAATATGTATATATGCGACAATAGTAAAAACAGGAAAAATCATGTATTGCATGTTATATTATTATACTAGCATCATTCAAATTTCCTTGATAACATAATAAACTTTCTTTAGATATTTAAGCTACATTTACCCTGAATATTTAGACTACATGCCACACTGAGAGAAAAGTTTTTGGAGAGAATTTGTGATTATATAATTACATGATATATATACCATAATTATTACGTATGGGTTGATCTTAAAAATGACTATAGATTAGACTTAAATTATATTAATTGCAATTATATTTTTGGTACTATATTTATAGTTATTTTCAGTGCTAGTTTATTTTTTAATAGAGTTATAAATATAATTATTATTACTAACGTTATAGCAGTAATAATCATAATTATCATGTACCATGTAGTTTTTTATAGTTACAAATATACGGAAAACTTTTCCCTCAGGGCAGATAAAAAATCGTAATCATGATTTTATTTTTACAATTTTAACTTTGATTTCGGTAAATCTATCGGTAAAAGAAAGTATGAGGACACCCTGTGCATAGAGATAGGCAACCAGACGTTGTTTCGCGTGTGTGCGTTGCCTAACGTGGAGGCTTCCACGTTTACGTCCGGCCTGGGGGCCGTGTCGAGAGGGCGATTATCTCCTGAAACGTATCGAAACGAGACGAAGAGGAGAAAAACGAAAACGGGACTCACCTGCTATACTGGAGGTGGAGGCGCCGAGCCAAGCGTGGGACGACTCCAACAACTTGGCCTGAAACAGAAAAGGTCGGTCGGTCAGACATCGGTGTGCTGGAACAATGATTAACGGCGATTTAGCGGTTGGTTGGGAAAACGACTTAATCTTTTATCCGAGCAATCTTCTTTTCTAACCGGAAGTAGAATGACCTTCGCCGGAATAATTATTTAATCGAAACTCGTCGGCGGAAGAAAGAGGGTTGAAGTATTTTAATCCCTATTGGTGCCGCTTGACATCGCGCAAAACACGAATTATTTAGACTTTAATACTTCAAGTTACATAACAGAGAATACATCGATATATACATTAAATCGGATCACGACCGAAAGAAGGTTTTAATCATCGAATCACTTGTTTAATTCTATCTAATCTTATATCTTCGTTTTAAAAAATAAATGATATGTTAATAATAACGACGATAAGATAAGGATAATAAGTATAATAAAAGATTTAATCTCATAAATACTTAAACGTAAATGGAGTTTATGAGATATAGGCAAGATAAGTATAACAGTTTGGAAGAGATCTTACATTGAAAAAAAAGCCTGGGTAATATATAGCTATCAAATGTATTTTGTTTAGCGTATTGATGTAATATTTAGTAAGTAATATTAGATATATATATAATAATAATTAATTGTTTGATGTAATAATTACTAAATATTTAGAAAAATAGAATTGACATTTAATTGGTCCATCTAAACACTAATTTTTTTGTTATACGTGGGACGGCTTTGTTGAAATATCTGAAAGTTTAGATAGATACAGATCTGAAAATAATTTTGTTACACCATTAAATAATTAAATTTTAAACTATATAGTGTACAAGTAACGCGTTACTTCCCAACCTTGCTGTCATCTAAGTTTGATTATTATTACCAAACTTTTTCTTCAGTGACTTTTTATGCTCGATTCTGTACATGTGACACAATACGAAAAGGCGTCTTACCAAACATGTTCCGGGACTGCAAGGGAAAAATTGTATGCACTGAAAATACCGACGTAATCCGAACTGTTCACCTCGACCGACAACTTTGCTAATATGCGAGGCTTTTCGAAGGGGATTCGCGAGACGCCAGGGCACCGAAAGCGCAAGACACACGCAAAGTTAGCTCATTTGAAAAGTTTCGCCTCTTCCCTTTGCGCTTTCGGATTTTGCGATTTCTGCAATATCGTAGGCAAGCGCGTATGCCGGTTATACTTGTTGTATACATTATACTTCCGGACCGAGCCTCTTTCTTCGGCCTGACTTCTCAAATTAATTTTTAAGGGTCGCTCGATGCGCCCCGATTGCCGCTCAAATCCTTCCACCCTACTTCTTCCCTTTTTTCTTTCCCTTTTTCCTCGCGTTTCAAAGTTTCATAGGTTCGCGAATTCTACTTGCAGAAAGCCGAATGCCGCTTTGAGAGACGTTCGTGCGTGAAGATGTCGGCTATCATCCATTTCGTCCACTAAAGCTGTATTTTTTATTTCGAACTAAAATTGATCAAAACTTACGGAGTAAATGGATCTAATTTATACGCATTAACTTTTAAGTAGATAAATAGGTGATTTAAAGATACGCAAAGTGATAAGTAGAGTGTAAAACATCCAAGAAATTAAATTTTAATTCTATAGTCGTATCTTTTACAATATATTGTTAGTTAAATTTACATTAGTTTTATATATATACTCTTATGAAACAAATATATGAAAATAAATCTGAATCTTGAGATTTCTGGGCATTTAGGTAATACTTTTTTTCTTTTTTCAGGACAAGATTTTAAAGAAGACTATATTTGAGGTGTTGTGGCCACTCCATTTACCTACTTAAAGGTTAATCCTTCATTCTTGAGTATCGACAGAAACGCGTATGTAACTTAAATACTATTTCACACAATGGACTGTTTTCAGTATTCTTTTTGATTTGACGAGAACGCGGAAACGTCACTCTTCGGAAGTGCAGATAGCGCCGTATACGAGAACCTCGTATTGTGCTGCGGTATATTTAAATTGTTCAAATCTATTCAAATGTACGCCCCCCTCCCTTACCACTACCATGGCGCCGCAGTTACCGTAAATCGTTTTTCGGGGTTTCTCGCGGTCATCAAAACGGGAGGGCTTTTTAGGAGGAGGGAACGAAAGGCGGCGGCGGCGATGCAGCGAAATAACGTCTCCACCGCCGTGACACGAGGGGGATGGCACGGAGCGTTGGCAATTTCGCGAAATAGCCCCGCGTCAATACACGTGCACACGCATCTCTCGGCTAAACCACACAAAGAATTATTGAGCAGCCCGCTCGTTGTTTCCGACGAGCCTCGCTCGAGCTGGAGGAGGACGCATAAGTGAGAGACCAAGAGGGGGAGAGACGGGAAAAAGAGGGAGGAGAGGAAGAAAAGAGATAGCTAGAGAGAGAGAGGGGGAGAGAGGGGGAGAGAGAGAGAGAGAGAAAGAGAGAGACTGAGCCTGCTCTGCAGTTGTAACTTGGACGCGCAAGTAGTATATCGTGGCGCGTGCATTTTTCATTGTCTCGTGTCCCCTGCGCCGCGCCGCGCTCTGCGGTGCAGCTCGCGGAATACACCGTGCAGAGTGCATACGCGACGTGCCGGTTGACGTGTGCATTGACGAGAAAATTGCGAGCGTCCCTGTATATCGCGGTCGCCCACCCTCGCCAGCGTGTCCTCTCTCTCCCTCTTTCTCTCTCTTTCTTTCTTTTTCCCTCTTTTTCCACGTTTTTTCCATCCCCCCTGTCATCCCCCACTTCTTTTTTTAGGCCGTCCCTTTCAGGTCGTTCTTACGTCGCGCACGGAATGCAATGCCCGTCCAATCGTCTTTCTCTCCCACACGGATAATCCCGTTCGACGCACGTTGCGACGGGAATAGGACGTGATAGAAGATTTTTATAATGAAAACATTACGTATTACATGCAGCCGAGTAATTAAGGACGCGCGAACAAGGATCGTGATGTTCCCCTTATCCGTTTTCTTTCCGACAGGGATTTTAACTATGGTTCACTTGATTCGAATGTTGAAGCGTTCTTTGATTAGTCGATTATAGTAAAATTCTTTTTTCTGATTGGTCAATCAAATTCTTCGAAGCATTTGTAGCCCTAAGTGGATCGCACTTATTGTTAGACAAAGATTAAAACTATGATGTAGAACGATCAGTCGAAAGAAATGTTTCTATAGAGCAATTCAGATTATGTCCGAAATATTAAAATTATTAAAACTTAAAGGTGATAATTATCTGTTCCTGTTTACGTCTTATAGGACGTAATTAATTTCAATTTTGCGTCTTGGGTTAAATTTTCTATCAACGGTCAATGTTATAGTGGTCATCTATTACAACTCTGTACCTAGTCTTTCTTCACGTCGTATTTAAGAGCTTCAGCAAACGAAGAGAAAATCGCCTTCGGAGGAGAAAGAGGAGGAGGACCATGAGAAGCGACGACGACGGCGTCTCGACGCACATAGAGACAGTGACCGTCGGCGTCATTCAACGGCAGTCTGCATCTCAATTTGTTTCGACGTACAGCAGAACACCCGTGTATATAGTCCGGCTAGTTTCTGTATGATGCATGCCGCTAATGGAAATGAGGCCCCCCCTCTCTCTCTCTTGCTCTCTCTCTTTCATTCTTCCTCCATCTCCCCCGACTTCTCTGTCCGGTCCGCAACGCGGAGCATGCATCCGTCTCCATCATCCCCTTCGTCTTTCCCTTTCAGCCACTTTCCCCTCTGCTTGCCTCCGACGGGAGGGAAGACATGAGCCACCCTGGCCGCGGCACCGAGGGGATTCGTGAATTAAATATCGCGCCGAGCTCGTGCGCGATTTTACCCCGCCCGTGAATCTCTCTGTTTCTCTTTCTCTCGCGCTCTCCTGTGAGTTCTGTTGCTCCTCGCTTCTCTTCAGCACACGCTCGCTATTAACCGCCTTCAAATTACTGGGCTGACCGCTGTGAATTTTTCACGTACGCCGCCGTCGCGGTAACCTGACTATACCTCCTTGATCGCACTGAGATGCGGTCAGAAATTCCGGAAGCTGTTAAGGCTGACGGAATTCCGAAAGGCAGTCAGCACGTGAGCAAATATCGACGCATCTAATATCACGAGATAATCTCTTTGCGATTCATATTTTTATGAATATACCTATGTAGCGGAAATTCACGTTGTATACGACACGATGTAAGATTGTGGGAAAAAAGAAGAGTCAGTCGAGAATTAGATATACTTACAGGGTGATACGAACCTCTAAGATTTCAATATTGTCTGAAAAATCAAGTAAATACAAGTAAATACTGTCAGAAAGTTTTTTGTTTAGTGTCACACACGCTTGTTTTGGATTCCGAGAAGAAGGCTCTCTTGACTACCACATTTCCCTGATATTATTCCCCTTTCTTCTTCTAGGAGTATATTAGGGACATAGTTTTCTCCATCAAGGTACCAAATATGAATGTCTTACGCAACTGAATTGTATCCGCTATAACTAAACGGTATTTATGACTAATAATATGCTCAGCACACTTAATTGGCACGATATACCGGGCTCGATAATCTTCGTACCATTAAAGTGCTTATGTTGGGAGTTTGATAATATATAAGGTTTGATAAATTTTGTAAGAAATTTTTAAAATTGTTCTTTACGACAAAAAAAGTTAAAAATACGTATGTATTTTGTTTATTTTAAAATACCGGAAATTTATCGTGTACCTTGTAGGGTTAAAGACATGGATAACCAAGTTGTATACATAGAGAGATCTGAGTATATAATAAAGATATTTACAATTAATACCTAAAATCATTAGCGTCACTCTAATAACCTATACGGTAAAAGGCATAACCACACACAATCTCTGCGTAAGGAGAATAGCTTACGGGTGAATAACGACGTACCAACGATGCGATCAACATCACAAAGTTCATTTGCACGCGAATACTATGCGTAAATCTGTTCGATGATCTCTTGGGACTTGCCACGGGATCAGACGACGACGACGACGACGACGACCTCTCGACACCTCGGCGTCGAGAATAAAATA